TCATACCTAATAGACTTCTTTTTTGACAAATTCATTGTTTTCTTCTCCATGACACTTGGCCATTGTTCTATTAGGCCTTTGGTCGCTTTAACTCACATTTAAAATGAACACTCACATTTCTAATGCAGGATGAGACCAGAGTAAAAGCTCTGTGAATATAGCATACAAATAAGTTTTTTTTCACCCTCAGTGGAACGGCTTGATTGCTTGTAACAGAAACTAATAACTGTCGAGTTACAAACAAGAAGGCCTTGCACCCCTGTGTGAAGCTTTGGCGACCCCTAGTGGGGGTCCTGAGGCCCAGGTTGGGAACCACTGCATTAAGGTAATAATTTATTTCTAATACATCCAAATATATGCAGCAATTATTATCAAATAAAAAAGCTGAACAGTTTCTTTGCTTTGAGTAAGAAAGCATGTGTTCCTTGAGGTTAACTCTCCCATTCATATAGTTTACAGTCTCTTGGGAGCTCTCAACAGAAAAAAACTGTGGAATAAGAACAGCTGTGCTCAGATTTCAGTCTGGTGCAAATTACTGAATGGTCAAATGTTCACTGTTGTTGACTCAAATGAAAACACATCTGTTACATCTGAGCATCAAACCATCGATTATATTATGAGACTTAATCTGGTGTCATAAATTCAAAATCAAAACATTCCCATCGACATGGCTAATCAACACCACATAAAGGAAAATGGCAAAACAGCAGAAGGCTGATGATCCTGATGAGGACTGCTGATACTCTGGAGATACTCTGCTGCACTCTAGTGGTTTACAGGCTGAAGTGGGACTTTTACAGTCTGCGTGTTTACTGATAAAAGTGTTGTGTACTCTTTTGCTACCAAGAGGGTTTTACTATAAATAACTGTACAACTGATTTACGTCAATATTAGTTAATACTCTTAGTAATACTCTTCAGTTATTTTACAAAAAATATACTGAATATATTCACGACTAATTCAAATAATCAGTTTAAAGAAACACCAAGAATCAGTTTTGAGTTTACACAGCAACATGTGATTTTTATTTATTTCTCAGATGTCATCATCAGAAATATAAACTGCAGTAACGTCACAATTTGCAGCCCTGTGGTCTAGTGATCAGAGATCATCATTTGCTCAACATAGTGATCAGTCTTTTCTTTTTCATTGTGAGACTTCTGATTGTAAAAGACCAAGCAGAGCAAGCACCTATTTGCCTCAGGTGTGAAAACTACAGCAGACACGTCAAGATTCTCATCACAAAGTTAAAAAAAAAACTCCTTTTCCAGTGTACAAAAGACATTGTTGGGGAAATTAATGCCAGAACAAGACACATTTAATCATTTGGTGAAAGATAATTTAAGTGTGTACATAGTGTACGACTAGAGAATCAACATTTCTGCAGGTAATCATTAAAAAAAAGCCAAAAAAGATTCACTATAAATAATATAAAAGCCACATACTGGGAGCCGGTTTGTGTAGAGCGACATGAAACAACACCAGTTTTAGGCTTTTTCTAGAAGTTGTAACGTGATCAAAGTTTGCATATGGCATTTACCTTTTAGGTTTACAGGGCTTTTAGTAAGTAATTGTAATTGATGTTTTGTTACTACGGCAACCACTCCATTACAAGGAAGTTGTTTTGAAAAGGGCAAGTAAGTATTCAAATTCCACAGCAGCTCTACTGCTGTAAGCCAGTCAGATGTAATGTAAAGGCCATCCATTGTAATGCTCGAGGCTGTTAAAAAGGTGGCAGCAGGGGGCATTGTGGGATACACAAAGGAGGACAGACAGAGTGCAGAAGATTGGGACTACTTGTATAAATTGTGTCCACGTTGGGAGAATAGTATCTCAGCTGTAGCAAGTTGCAAAATAAATCCAAATCCAATCTAAATGTAAACAAACACTGATTCCTCAACTAAATGTTGTACGGAGACATTTTTCTACATTCAAACCAAGAGACAGTTATTTGTGTTAAAGACACATTTGTCCTTGGATTCTTTGTTCATAAGGTTTATAAATTACAAAACTGCAAACTGAGTAAATCATTTTGAACAATCTTTGTGATTGTTTGTTTACAGGAGGTTATACTTTAAAAGACTTTGAATTGCGTTGACAATCTTAACTCAAGGTCCAGAGCTTTCAGTCGCGAATCAGTCGGACCTTTCACACTGAAATTAAAGATATCTTCATTTTAGGTTGAATGTAAGCGAGATTTCATGAGCTGTAGCAATCCCAGTCCCAAAGTGACTATTTTAAAGCTGAAGTAGCTGATAAATTGATTCATCAACAAGCAGAATTTAACAATCAAATAATAATGTGAGTAATTTTCCATGCAAAAATGGCAGAAATTCTCTGGTACAGCTTCTAAAATGTGTTTAGAAAACCAGCAAAAGTTCTTCAATGATCGAATATTTGATATCTTCCATCAAAACAAGCATTTTGAGCTTTGTGATGGGCCTTTTTCATCTATATGGACTTCAATGATTAACCAAGACCAACATCCATCATTAGTTACTTTACTTGAAAAAAAGGGTTTTCTAAATTTAGGTTACATGCAGACCACACACACGGTGGTAAGTCACACTGGGCCTTTTGTGTCATCGGTTCATCAACTTCATTTGCATGACAGGGAACAGGAAGACACCCACAGCATGTCACATGCCACATGACACTGTCAGGGGCTCTCAACACAGAAGATATGGATGTTTGGACCATTTTTTTTACATATCTGTGCACTCACATACTTCACTCTCTTACCCTTCATTACTTAATGCTATGTAAACATATTGATAGTCAGAAAAATACTATGTCTTTACATTATGTACAAAGTGAATCACTAACCAGCAGTTCAGTGTGATGGAATGTAGGAAAAGTTTCTACCATCCTTTGACAATCAAGGAGTCTCTACTGGTGGTGGATCGGCTACATTAAGCTTTAAGGCAATGCACTGTCGTGGGTGTTGTTGCCATGAAGGCAATGGCACAATGCAGTTTGAAAGGCAAGTGGTGTGAAATGGTCAAAAGGGCTGAATTTAGCTCCAGTTTGGGCCTTTTCATTACCGTTATATTCGAGTCACAGAGCTAAGCATCTGTTTATAAGAAATAATAATAATAATAATAATAATCAGTCATCTTTGAAAAGCAGAGGCGGATGTTTAAAACACTCACTGGTGTTTTACAGACTCTTCTAACCATCTAGACAACATGATAAAAAAGACTTTTAACCTATCCAGGTAGCCGGAAATTATATTATTCTTTGCTCATTTTGTACAGCACAAGAAACATAAGAAAATGCCAGTTCTTTTGTATTAAAATAAACAACAATATAATTTCATAACATTAATATGGACAAATATAACTGATAATAAAACAAATTTTGTTTCACATTGTACAAACTTGGAAAACATTTCCAGCTAAAATGCTTGAGAAATGGGTAAAAATCTTTTATTATAAATGGACTGCATGTATTCCATTATTGTATTATTGGACAACAGACTATTGTTTTCAAAGAAACAAATTAGCCAAGAAATTACATGTGTGTTATTTTAAATTTTTTAATTTGTTTTTTAATATTTATATTGTTCTTGTGCTATACAAAATGAGCGTGGTCTTATATCATTTCCGGCTACCTGCATCTGAAATATAGTCGCTACTTGGTAAATACCTTCAAAACTGCAGAAATCTTTGTTAAAAAATCTTCTGGTATTTATTTTCCAGAATAACAGACCCTTAGCTCTGTGACTTAAACCTAATGGCAATACACAAGAGGCACAAACCGGGGGCTACAGTTGGCTGAATTATGACCAGTTAGGGAAATTGTTGCAATTTAACCTTGTTAAGAAAAGTGCAGGCCTAGAGAAAATATGAAATGACTACATTCACAGTAGACAAATTAGACCAGACTGTCAAAATAATCACATGCCTGATGATCATTTCAGTGTTTCAGACGCGTTCAACGCTTTTCTCTCCAAGCATTAGCATTAATCGTGTGTTAGCCTACAGTATACGTGAAACATTTCCTACGTGCACGTCTACCCCATGACATTATGGAGGAGTTCTAACACATTTACAAACTACTGATACATAGGTACAATAAGTACCAAAGTTGGTATACACTGGCTTATAATCTGTGACTTTATATATTGTAGTAATATTAACATACCAGGAATTTGTAAAAAGTGGCATTGCAGTTTAAAACCAATTTATCTTCATCATGCAGAGAAAAATGAACATATTCTACGTTTTCTGCTGGTACAAGGCCACTGCGATCTTTTTGAGGTAACAAGCAAAGGAACCAAAAAGCAAATGGAGCGATATACAACAGGAGGATGCAACAAAACTAAAAGACACCGTAACAGCAGCAAGTTAAGGTACAACAAATCTTGTAACCCTGAATGAAAAAGACACTGAAACTCAGTCTCAAATTGTCAGAGCTAATTAGCAGCATCATATAGTCAGTAGTGTTCAACATCAACATCATCACAGACACTAGCATATACAGTACAGTACATAGACAGCTAAGCAGGCAAAGAGGCTCCTGTGTAAAAACACCAATTTGCCATTTCATTTGTCGGTTTAAGTAATAACCCCCCCAGGGAAAAATAGGAAGTTGTGAAAACAAGAGCTTTTTGTATGGACCAAAAAAGAAACACACCCGTGACAGTTCCATTGCATCTTGCTCTTTGCAATCATAAACCTGAATACAGAGTCAGCTACTGAAGGAACCTTAACAAGGTGACATAGCTGAAGGTTTTTTTTTTTTTTTTCAGATTCCTGTTTTTGATGATATGAGAGGATACATCTGCACTGTAGATTTGGAAAGAAGAGCAAATATTCAATTTACATTAAATCTCCAGGTGAGAAAAAGTCCTCTCCTTTCTACTCTAGGTTTGTTTTATTCCAGGTTCGTTTAGAACTTCCTGCTGGATATCACCAAGCCCTCTAGACTGGATGGACCTTTCCAGAAAAGAATATTAGTTTTACGAATATCTCACGTGTTTGAGGTGCGGGGGAGTCTCACGCGGTAGGCACTGCGATGCCGCTTTCAACACTAAACACCCGTCGCAAGGTTTGGCCCTTGTGCCGCTCCTCGCTAGTTTGAACTGTGGGTGACAACCTGTTCTGCTTCACAGGGTTTGTCGAGCTAGAAGCCGAGGGCTGCGAGATTGGGGTGGAGGGGACCCGGACGGGGTGCTCAGCTCCTTCTTGACCCCTGGAAGTCGAAGCTACAGTGCTGCGAGCAAAGCGGGGGACACCGGAAGTGTTTTTTTATGCTGAGTGTGTGGAGAGCTGCTGTTCTCAGAGGAAAGCTCCCAGCCTGAGCCCTGACCTGAGCCTGAGCCTGAGCCTGAGCCTGAGCTTGGGCTTGTGCCAGGGCTCTCATGGTGGAGCGGCACATCTTCTCCTCAGGTGCAGGCTTGGGGATGTTCCTCAGAGGTTTGGCGCTCGGCTTGTGGATGGAAGCTTTTTTTGGGGTTGAGTCACGTGCCCATCTTGAAATGCCGCCTGTGAGGCCGCTTCCCTTCTGAACCTTCGACTCATCAGGAGGCAGACTGGAGTGTCGAAGCGGTCTTGTGGTCTTCTCGCTCCTTCCCCTCGCCGGGGTGCTCTGGTCTCGAAGAGGCCGGCGTGACTCTCCACTGTCATGCACCTCTGCTTTTTTGCTGCTACCTGTCCTTGCAAGCTTGCTAATGGGCACGACTTTGCGCATGCCCTGGCTCTCGTTGCTGGTCAGCGTTCGCACGCTGCGACCTCCACTAGATTTGGTCGCTTTGTTAGCTTTGCTCTTTGTCTGAGCTGGTTTTCTGCTGATTTTCTGAGCCTCTTTCTCCACAACTTGTTTTCCCTCAGCAGTGTCACAGCTCTCTGTGTCCCACTCCTCTGTGGTAGGAGACGGAGTCATGGATGCTGTGTCTACAGATTTTGGCGCCGAAAGCTCATTTGTTGAAACAGACTGATCGTTGGGAGACATAGACTCCAAATTAGAGGACAGAGAGCTTGGATCTTGCTGGCTCTCCTGGTCTTTGCTGCACTCAGTCATTCTGAAAAGTCCCTCTTTGGTTAAAGACGAGCTTTCAACCTCAGAGTAATCCAAAGTGACGGAACAGTCTGTTTCTGTGCAGTCTAGTATATAAAACATTGGTTTCTTATTAGATACAGAGGTGTCTAGTGGGAGGGGTGTATCACAGGTTGTTGATGAAACTGTGCTGTTGTCCTCTTCTTCTTTCTCTGGAGAGACGTCAGTCTGTGTAGGAGTATCTATTTTACCTTCCCAGGCTGCTTTGGGATCTGCTCTTCTTTCTAAAACTCTATCATGTAGGAGGTTGTCCAGACTTATGGGTGGTGACGGTCTCTCTCTTTCCAAATCAGTCACTACGACATCCCCCTCGTTGACAAAGTGCATATGATTACTGTTATTGTTTGGACTAGGAAGGTCAAAAGCTTGAGGACCTCGAACTAAAGTGTGCTTCTCCACACTAACATTCATGTGGCCGGTAACTGTGGGGGTTGGAAGATGAGCAGGCTTCTGAAAGACACAAAAGGAATGAGGCAGAGCGCTGCCCTCTGACACAGATGAGTAAATATTGTTGTTGTATGGATCATTATCATTTAGCCCAGAGGAGGAAAACTTGGCCAGTGGGCTGATGGGCTCAGTTTCAGCATGGGGAGACGTCACCTGCCTGTCACAGCCCAGCTCACGGTTGTCGTCCTGGGCCGAGATCCAGGGGGTCGTCTTACGTTGCATGATGCGGCCTGGCCGAGGTAGGCTGTTAAACTTGGAATAGTCTGTGGGATTCCCAGTTCCTCCAAATAGTTCAAGGTATCCTTGGAGTTCTCGGTCTGCTATGGAGGTCATGGTGTGACGGTGGCGGCGGGCGCTGGCAGAACGTCCCAGCGGGCTATGTGGACTCTGAGACCTCTGCTGGAAGAAGTCCAGAAGCCCTTCCTTGGTGAGCATCTCCACGTCGTTCTCGCTGCTGCTCCGACCAAATACGCTGCTCTGATCCGCACCCGACCAAGCAAAGCGCTTTTCCTCCAACTCTCTTAGACGACGCTGTCTGGCTGCTTCCTTCAACTCGCGATCCGTGTTGTCCTGAGAAAAAGGGGAAGGAGGAAGAAGTGTTTAGAGGCAGGCAGGAAGGAATACAAACCAATAATACAATACTATCAAATCAGATTAGAAGAAATTAACATTTCACGCATCCTTTTACCTCTTAATTTACTTAATGGATATTTCCCAGTTATTTCAACATGGGTCTTAATTTCAATGTAGAAGTTGTAATAAACCAGAATGATCCGTTTACTAAAACTGACCTTGACAGCTTTCTTGAACTTGATGCAGAAATCTTGAAAGATGCGGAAGCACTCATCAAGCTTAAAGGTGTCCTTGTCTTCGCAAAAGAAATCGATGAGGGCGTTTCCCTCTTTACGCAGATCCAGCCTGCGTCTCTTCAGGTCCTGAAGTGTCTGTGCTGAACTCTAGGACAGGACATCGGGCACACACATTTTTTAATCTATAAAATGTTATACACTTTTATGGGTGTCATTGTCTATGGTACTTGAGTCAGCAGTGCCAGAAATGTACATTGGCCTGGATCCAACTTTCTGTATGTGTGTCTGTGTATATAATGTATTATGTAACTACAGTACTGCGGCTTCACCTGCAAAAAGGGCTCCAGCTGCTGCAGTAGCTCCTGGTCTCCTTGAACCTTCTCCTCCAGGGATTTAATCCGAACGTATAAGGAGGAAAACTCCACCTCGATGTTTTCTACTGAGATTCTACATGAAAACATTACAGCAGAAAGGAAATGTGCTTAAATATTTTTTTTTAGATTAAATACATAATAATCATATTACGGACATCAAATTGTCCTGATAACGCTGCTTAGCGGGATAATATTTGACAGCATTTTGCTAAATGCACTGTGAGACTGTCAGCTATTAAAGGTGAAGATAGGACCGCTGTGAGAAAATGTGTTCACATATCCTGAGGGAGGGAGGGAGGGAGGGGTGGTCTTGGCTCTCTCTGCTGCAGAAGCTGTACTGACTTCACACAGAGATGACCTTGTGAAGCTGACAGCCTGACAGCCACCAGCATCACACACACTGCATTCTGAAAATGACTCTCAAAGTACTGCACTTAAGTTAGATGTCAGCCTGCGTAATGAGGCTGGATGTTACTGTCAATTCAGCAGTACATAAAAATGTTAGAACCTCAGGTTTGAACAAATGGTTGTTCACACTTCTGGTCATTTACAGAACACAGAAATAAAAGATAAAAGAAGTACATACTCAACATTTATTTATAACAACGGTATTATGGAATAGTAAATGTTGGCGTTACTGGTGTTATTACAGTGTTGTTAAAGCATGAACCTGGTACAATAATGTGATTTATGTAGCACTGGCTTTTGAACAATGCTACAAACTACCTGTTTTCAGTGAACTGAGTGATCGATCACTCTCTTTGGGGCAAAACTGGTAAGACTACGTTTACAACTTTGTCTAAAAATGTCAGTAACAGTTTACCTGGATGCACTCTGGACATCATGAAGTTTCTCTGGAAACTTGAGCAGCTTCTCATCTTTTTTCTTTGCCTCCTGTGTGGAGAAACACATCATGCAATTTGCATCTGAATTTTTGTTACCGTGCACAATAAAGTGGCATCATTGCAGTGACAAGGACTACTCTTTGTTTGGTTATGTAAGCGCTTGGCCAACGTCTCTTGGCTCTCTTCTGTTCCCTGTCACCATCTGCTGTCCACCTGCCCTCCTGTAGTCTTAGTATTTGGATGCTGTTTACATACGCACCACTGCTGTGAAAGATTTATATAAAACTAACTCAATGGCTGTCTCTTTTTTCATGTTGGACTGAAATATGTTATTTAGATTTTTATTTCATATATTTAAAGTTTTGTGTGATTTAACTGTAGTAATCATGATCCACCACAGACTTTCCATAGTACAGTACATTCCTGCTGTTTAGTGTATCTCATAGGTACAGTGCACAGTCACTACATTAACTTCTTAATGGGTGAAAACTGTGCCATATAGATATATTAATTGCTTTAACGAGAATCTTTCTTTATCATTTTTACTCTTATATAAAAGTATATACAGAGGAGGATTTGACTTGGTGCAACACAATAAATAACCCTACAACAAACAGTAGCTGTGATTTCAACATTCAATTTGATGCTGACATTGTATTGAGAGAAGTTGATTTAGCTCTAAATTGCCCCACTTTCCAGTGTTGTACTGGGTTATAAAAAGTAGTACATGTATGAAAGCTGCAGTAGGAAACATTTATGAAAATAACTTTTTGTCATATATCCTGACAATAGTACATGAGACAGATAATCTGTTAAAAAAACTGGTTCCTCTGGCTCCTCCTAGTGCGCCTAATGGCATTTGCAAGAACACACCAGGCCTGAACAAAAACAACCAATCAGAGCCAAGAAAGATACAGTGAAAATTTCAGCAAATATGAATTGTTATTTTCATATAAGTTACCTACTGCAGCTTTAATTGTAGGATATGCATCCTATTGTATTACTGGAACCTTCACTAACCATGGCGACAAAGTGCAGCAGGTTCATTCCTGGCTTGTTGGCCTTGGTGTCAGCCAATGAGAGGAGGGATGACAGCTTGAACCCCACAGCGTTGCCTGCGTAGCCACCCTGACAGCCACAGAGAGACAAATGAAAGATCCCACAGAAAAATGTCAAAATGTTACAAAGATAAGATGGAGATATTCTGAAATCCAATTCCATGAAAAGACAAAAACCAACAATGACCTGATCTACAAACAAATATAGCCTAAGTAGCCAAAGCCTGATATAGCTTATTCCTCTGTGTTGTGGACCACTATTGGTGTCCAAAAAGGAATCATTTTAAGAAATACGCTTATTTGCATTTTTGGTGGGATTAACACAAGAAGATCGATACCACTCTTTTAGAGCAAGGAACCAGTTAGCTTAGTTTAGCATAAAAACTGTAAACGGGGGAAACAACTAGCCTGGCTCTGTCTGAAGATAGAAAAATCAGACCTCAACACCACAACAAAATAAACAAACTAGATACAAAATGTTAATTACTTTCAACCTTTGGACAGAGCCGGGCTAGCTGTTTCCCCCGGTTTTCAGTCTTTATGCTAAGCTAAGCTAAACCAAATGCACTAATTACTCCTGTTAAAGTAATAATTGCCAAAAACTACAGAGCTCAGCTCGCTGAAGAAATAACTTAAATGACAATATATCTGTGATGTGTTTTTAAAAATCTATGTCTTCAGAAGGAGTGAATAGACACAAAAAAAAACAGATTGTTTTTTTTTAGAGAATATATGAACTAAAGTGAGCCTAATCATTTCAACCAGACAGGACAGGAGAGTGGTATTAATGTATTAAGTGAATGTAAGTTTAGACTCACAGCGTTCATGATGTTTCCGGCCTGCAGCACCAGATGCAGAATGGCATGAAGCTCCTCGCAGCTCATCAGCTCTATAGGATGAGATCAATATAAACTCAATTAGAGAATCCCGAGCAGATACCATCATTGCATTACAAAGTACTTCACTCTCATTTACCAGCACTACACAGAACCACTATCAGCTCTAATGACGGCTGATAGGAAGTTAACTGAAACTCCTTTTTTGCATTTTACCAACAGTGAGGGCAAATGTTAAATACTGTTGAAAGTTTTCATTAAATGGTGTCATTAAAAGTTCGACTTAATTCATCCCTTGCAGCGTTTAACTGATAGCTCTGCAATGCAGTGAAAAGGTCAGAGTACTGTAGAAGACGGTTTAAGAAAACTCCAATAAAGCCCAGAGAGGCAAGTGTGACTCAGCTAAAATGACACAGGCTCAAGTGATGGTTGCAAAAAAAAACATAGTTTGTAATATTTTTCACAGTTCGTTGGTCTGTTCATAAACACCCAGAATATGTTTGAGGATATAAATAGAGGTACGTGTGCTCGCTGTGTGTGTTATTTTACTGTAAATTACACATTCAGCAGCACATGTCAGTGCCGTGGCTCTAGGGATGGGATGCATTCATGTCCCCACTCAGGGTAAAGTATTACAACTCTTGTGAAACTTTTCATCTAGTTCCATCATCTGGTCAAAAGGTCCAATATTAGTAGAGCTGTACTTCATGCTAATTATTTTAGCATGCTAATATGTTATATCTGCATATTATTATTTTCCATGACCATGTTGGCATGCTATCATTTGAGCATTTAGCTAAAGCATCACTGTAAGTACAGCCTCACTAAGTACAGCCTCACTAAGTTATTATTATTATTATTATTATTATTCTGCAGCAGCTTAGCATGATTGACAAAAT